TGTGCATGAGTATTTTGGAGAGGCAAAAGGAGATAAGAAAACGAATTGGGGTTGATTTATTGAAAATGGAGAGTGCAAAATCTGGTGCATCTCTGCATGGTAGCCAATCGCTTCTTTTGACAAAAAAAATTGGAAGCTGATTGGTTTCTATTCAGAGTTGCACCAGATTTTGCCCCCTCCAATTTTAGTAACTCAACCTCATTAGACAACAAAGATAAAAAGGTGAGTATGCTACAGATTTAGTCATTAAAATAGTGTGTATTTTAATGTGTCATTCAGTAGGGTAAACTGTAATGACATATTATAAATGATCCACTGCTTTGCTTCTGCAGGACTTTGCCTGGACTGGACAATCTTGTACTAGTTCACCAACAACTAGAGCACTTGAAGGCTTACCAAACAATCTATTTAATTTACATCCAATCAGGTAGGCCACTGCAATAAATAGTTACTAGAAAACATGAAGGTGATTGTACAATGAGTATAATGTGCAATGTGATGTGGGTAATCAGCTTTCAAATGTATATTATTTGATTTGTATTACAAATGTATTCAAATGTATGTATTTATTTACAACATCAATTAATTAAATTAATTAATTAATTTTTTAAATTGAAAGTTATTACAAATTTACATTGTTACATTTAGAGCATTTTCAAATTATCAAAGCCCCCAGTTAGTGAATCACAATTTAAAATGTGGTTTGGATGAAAAAAGCCTAATTATTTTTCATGTAGTCCAACTAAAATTTTCAATCTGGGAGGCTTCTCCCACTTGAATGTTCACAGTCTGTAAATTACAACTCCTACAGAAATTCAATGATAGCTTCAATACTGCAACCAATTTAAAATTTCTAATGATACTATATTGTTGAGGCTGTCGTCTTCTAGTTATGACATCATTTACTAAAGTGTGTTAATATGTATATTTAACTGTAGGAACACATATCTGTTATTTATTGTCCAGTTTTCATTGTCCTTTGTGTCATATAGTAATTTGTCAAATATGTATCTTTGCAATTCAAAAAATTAGTGTAAGATTACCACGCAGAGATAAAAAATGTTTTCATACAAATTTATAAATAGTCACATGAAACTAAAATATTTTTTAATTTATTAGCATAGTTTTATATACATTTTTTTTATCCATAATTGTATATTTATATTTTGCCCTATCATGCACATTCTCCCATATAAGACAACCCCCCCCCTAAATTTAACGTAAATTTAATATTCTAGTAATTGTATTTTATTAATACATGTAATGATTACATTCAATAAGTTCATATATTTATTTCATAATTTTTTTCATTCATTATATACTTGCTTTTATATTTTTCCAGCACTGAAATGCAGTCTAAGGTGACCAGCAAAATATGACAGCGACAGAGGTTGAGACAAACTAGCCTATGAAAGTAATTATATATATAACCAATTTTAGTTGATAGTAACAGAATTCAAAACTTGCTCTGTTTTCAACAGATTGAAATGTTATTACATGATGTTGCCCCTGCCTCACTGATGTGCCTCCATGTCTGGGTACCCACTCTAACGCATCTTGTTCCCTCCGATGACTAACTACAAAATATGTGTTTTTATTGCAAATAATTGTAAGTGGATATTTGTCCAATTCATGTCTGTATAGAAGTTTATTTTTATTTTGTATGTATAGAAGTTTATTTTAATTTTTTTTGGATTATATATTTGCATATACAGTTCAACAATCAAATTTTGTTTTATTGTAGATGCACCTTTTCATAGCTCCTGAAAAGCCACTGAGAGTAGGGAAACATGTACAGCTACTGTTCAGTTGAACTTGTACTAGCTCTGTACTATTACAATATATCTGTGTTCAATCATCTACAAGGTCATCCTAACCATCAATGATCCATTTTGGTACCAGTCAGGTTATATGGTCATTTAGGAGTGGTAGGATTTCAAATGATACAATTATTGAGGTGCAATTTCTTGTTGTAAATTGTGGTACTTTTTCAGTATCATATTTTAAAAATCATTGCTTTGTTGTAACTATGTGATTTGTCAATAAAGAGGATGAAGATTTTACAAGATCATGATGTTTTAAGTGCCTATAAAGTCCATGTAGCTGCAATCACATTTTGGCTAGTCTTCCTAGGATGTGGCACAGTGCATGAGCTATGTATCTATAGTACCACCCTATGGATATACTCTTTATATATATATATATATATATATATATATATATATATATATACATACACACACAGCAGATATTTATGAAAAAGAGCATAGTCCTTGGAGCCATGGTTTACCATAGTTGGTAGCTAATGAAATATACATTTTTCTCTGTGTCATGATTATAGCAGAAAGCATGGATTTGTCACATAACCCTCTATAAATGTGCCAAATCAAATACATACCAGTTACAAACAATAGTAAAACAAACAATATGTGGCTTGCTTATGTGTTGAATATACCTATGTTTGCACTTACCTTTTGCACTTCACCCATAATTCTACATTCCTTATGTACAGGAATCTTGTCAAGAAACCATCAAGTGGGGTTATAGTAAAGCGTCTGAGATTACAGTGATAGCAGCATTATAATGAACTGTTTTCTATATATTTTTCCCAGTGTGCAGCACACTGTTAAATAGGAGTGCTAGAACAAGGATTAGGAAGACAGACTTAGTTGCAGTTTTTGTCCCAGCATTAAGTAATTACCTTTCTAATCCCCATGCCATCTGTTGCCACTCTGCTGTAGGTAGTATATCTATTTCTCACCAGACACAACTGTAAACAGCCATTCGCATTATGCAACCTCTTAGATGGCAAACCTTGTACCAATGAACAAAAGAAGACCACACATATATGCACAGTGAAACTATATAGCAAATCTTCCTTCATTTTATTTCTTCAGATGCATCAGATAAAAGACAGCTAAAAGTAAGATGTATATGTTGGATATATTTGGTAGTGATTTATATGTGATATTAGTTGTGTGCATTGATAGATTTCCTTTCATTTTTTCCTTGTTTAGAGTGGACAGAGCATATTTATAAGACAGTGTTGTAACCCATAGCTATCAGTCTTACATTTTACCAAGCTTATCTATGCTCCCTGCAAATTCTTGCACCTAATAGGTAAGCACTCTATTTTTTTTTATGCAGAGAAGAAATTGTTGATCAAATTCTTTCATTCGTTGTGTGAGAAGGCTACTATTTGGTAATCTGAACTGCAATAATAAGCAAAGCATACACAAGTATATCAAGCAGAATTATTTATTAAAATTAAAAAGTTATTTTTGATTTATTCCTGTTACAATAAAATGTATTCTGTTTCACAATAAACAAGGCAGTACACAGTTTACATTTTCTTTCAATGAGGGACATAACAGGTAATGCCATAAGAATACATGAAATATACCCATAACATAGATAAAAATATCATACTGAGGCAATAATGGATGCACACTGAAATTTCATAAATGCCTGGGTAATGAACCTGCGGCTTATAGATAAGGTCATAAGAGCCAACATAGAACCAGAAACAGATGAACAGATGAACAACGAAAAAAGGAAAGAGCACAGGGAGGATTAAAGTGCAGAAAGTTTAAGTAGGAATACAAGAAATAGAAGAGAATTGGAAAGGAGGGGAAGGAGTGGAAAAAGAGAAAGGGGGTGGAGGGAAGAGAGAGAAGGATTATAGGGAGGGATACCTGCAGTGGTATAGTCTTGCAAGGTACAAGATACAAGCTCCAGAGCTCATCAGATATTGAGAAATGTTTGAAGGCATATAATTAATAATTCATGGTGTCCAGACTTTTTGAAATTTAGACATATTAGCCCTCTAATAAGGACAAGTGAATAGGAAAGAGAACACCTTTTCCCTTGTGGTCATGTAAACAGTAATGCTCAATCGGGATGAGCCTTTGAAAGGATGAGGAGTTATGGGTTGTAGAGGTAGCTGTTAATGACTGTTTTCCTGTTTGCAACTTACAAAACACAGTATCTATTTATTTGCTGAACTACATCCAGGGATCCCCCACCTCTTTTTCAAATCTTCCTCTCTATCTCTCTCTTTCTCTTCCCTCCTCCCACCTCATTTTTTCTACTCTTCCTCTCTTTAACTTTTAACATCTTTTTTTTACCTTACCTCTTTTTTCTTTTCTCTACCCCCTACCTCTTTTTCCCTAAGGTCATCAAACCTTTATTCTCCCAGACTATATAAAAAGCTATACAAATTCCACACAGCTTCTCCGTATTCATGAACCGCATATACAAACAACGGGATTATTTATATACAGTAGATTACCAGACACCTTGTGTAATCCATCTATCTGCCCCAATATACTATTCTGAGCATCAAACATGCATACTGTTCTGTTAAGATGTGTTTTCTAACAAATGTTTGGCTCCTTTTGATTGTTAGCCCTGTTAATGCTGTACATTTGATTGGTAGGTATGCCACTAATCTGTCTAAAAACCGTTGTAAAAAAGCCTTGACTTCTAGGTTCAGGCTGTACATTGGGCCTCATCTTGAGGCCAAGTCAAGATTAAAAGCCCCACACTCTTGTCATTCAACTGTAAAATACCAAAATATTTACTACCATTGAAGTTCTGACATTTTAATGACAATGGGGAAGCTTAGTAATGGAAGGGTGGCGCTAAATCTTGGATTAGATGGATTAGATAACAGTATATAGGTTTTAGAAGTGCATTGCCTGAGTCTGAGATCCACAGGCACACATGGCTCATTTGGCATTTTTGGTGTAGAGGCTAATAAGAAACACCACGTCCATAAAGTAGTATAGAATATGATGGTACAATGTAAAGAAATATAGCTATAAGAATTGTTATATTAATCTGAATGCCTGTGAATTCATAAACAGTGTAAACATTTTATTCAAATACATGCAATTAAAAGACTGTTTAAACCAATACAATCATAGTCATACAATAAATTTTTAAATTTTTAAAGATCATGTAACCCCAGAAATGTATTGGCCTGTAGATCGAGTAGCTCAAGGTATTTGTTGTTGGTTGTTGACTTTGTGATAAGCCTTCCATATTCTCATTGTCCTGTCCCATGACACTGTAACATACTAAAAAGACAGAAAAGTATATAAGCCCCTGTGCATATTTGCCTTTTATGTTTCATATTTTATGTAAAAGTGCATAATCACCATACCTGCTTCATCTCTGGAATGTGGATGAGGGACCGGATAAGGTCTGTATGTCCAGTGTTAAACTGAACCTGAAGTAGAGAGTCTGGATCATAAACCCTGAGGGTATTAAAAGAAAGAATGACGTGCTTAAATATTTTTCAATAGAAAATGCATGTAGCAAATATGGAACCTCTTACATTTAAAGTTTAAGCATATTGACAATTTTTTTCATTTTTGATAGAGTAGTTAGGGATTAGAACGCCTGTTGGGGGGTCATTGCTGCTCGTATCCCTGCTAGGCAGATTTACCCCTCTGTTTTTCCTGGTGACCATTGTCTCCCAAACAGAAAATTATAGGAAATCCAAAACTACACAGTTGTCACAAGAACAAGTGGTTAGGGGAAATCTTCCAATGGGAACATCTGTTCTAATGAATCATCCCCCCATTTGTAGAGATTTCCTCTCCTTTCCTGTTGTATCCTTAGTAGTGCAAGTACAAGAAAATCTCCCTAATGGGACACAGTCAGAAAAAAAAGAGAGGAATGCTAGGGTTATTTTATGCGCAATTATCTGACTAAAATATTAATAATATAATATAATAATAATAGCTCTCAGGCCATTGTACTCTGATGTCTATGTACAATTCCACTAACTGTCTGTCTGCATGGAGCGAGGCATTGCATGGATAATATCATATCAAATATACAGCCATGTAAGTTTTATAAACTATCAAACAACCTACAAATTAGGAGTGTTATAATGTTGCCAACAGAAATGCAAACTAAAACATTTAAAAAGGAAATATACCTCTAAATGAAACAAAGTACTTTAACCACTTACCAACCAGAGAATTTACCCCCCTTAATGACCAGGCCATTTTTAAATAATCAAATTTTTTCATAAATTTAGGCCAAAATGTATTCTGCTACATGTCTCTGCTAAAAAAAGTCCCAATATATGTAAATTCATTGGTTTTCGACTTATAGTTGGACTACAGCGGGCAGTCTGACACTGGTGGGGAACTGACTAACTGCCACTGACATCCCAGTGATACCAACACAGTGATCAGTGCTAATAAAAAGCACTGACACTGTACTAATGGCACTGGGCAAGAAGGGGTTAACATGAGGGGTGATCAAAGGGTTAACTGTGTGCAGGGAGCGTTTTACTAGGGGGCATGGGGGGTGTGCTTCACTGTAAGCACACTACTCTGGATGGCTGTGCACAGCCATCCAGAGCAGTATGCCCTAGCTGACAGGGAGGAGGACTGTTAGTAAACAAAAGTCTTCCTCTCCATTGGAGATCTTTGGAAATCACCAGGCGCCAGGAAAGTAATTACCGCCCGGGTTAACTGTGTGCTGTTTGACTGTGTGTGCTGTGTGCTGTGTGCTGTGCATGGAGACATGCTGCTGTGTATTTCTCTGCTGTGCTGTGTTACTGTTGGCAGGGGAGAGACCTGTGTTATCTCCCCTGTCAGTGATACACGGCAATCGCGGGTGCCAGTGGGGAATCTCCATCCAGGACCCGGTGATTTACATCTGTAGCCACCAATGGCAGCACGGGTAGGGAGACGTGCACGCCCCCTACCTGGAAATTCAAAAATAATGTATATATACATGATTTTGTACAGCCCTGCCACCCTGTAACAGTAGTTCTGCTACTGTGTTAGGGAAGCAGTTAGTTCAACTAGCCTATGGCTAGGTACACATCTGTTCGGGTAGTTCCTGCTGAGAGCGGTTGTTCCTGCAGCTGCAACCACCAGCACAGAAAACGCAGGAGATGCCTTAATCCTAATGGCATGCTGAACACACTGGAAATCACTCCTGCACTGGGAACTGCACTGCACCTGTGGCTCCCATGCAGACTGCAATTCCAGAAATGGTGCAGGGACCTTTTCTCTGTGTTTCAGGAGGCACGGCAACCCATTCAAATGAATGGGCTGCCATTCCCGTGCAAAACACTACTTGCAGAGCTGCATCAATGTGAACCTAGCCTAAAGGAAACTTCAATGTATATTAGCCGAAGAACTTCATATTCCTTAAAACATTTCTTCTGTGGAATTCACTCTCTCTTTTTAAAAATAGATAATTTGATCTAAAATGCACTGGCATATAATACAATAGTCAGCTTTAGTACTTTAGTGGCTAGATATAAGTGGGGCATTGTGGTAGGATCACCTACCACTACTACTATTGAATCTGCACTGCCTAGAGGAGACTTATGCTAGCCATGTACATGGAGATTCCTTGCTAAACAGTGGATGGGGAACATGGGAAGGTGTGGGAAAATAGGAAGGGTGGGATGGAAAAATCTCCTCTGCTGGCTATTGTGTTCAGAGAGCTGGCACCTGTGGCTTTCTGAATACCCAAATAGTGGCACTTGATACCGTAGGAAACAGAAATTGCTCAGCTGCCAGTTTTACACCCAAGTCTTCACTTTTTTTTTGCTGATTGAGCTACTGGTGAATTCCAGCCAAATCAACAGGAATTAACCAAAATTCAAACTGTGCATGGCCAGCTTTAGAATGCATGGGCATCACAGTGTATTCAAGTTGCCATGTGGATGCTATTACAGTGCTACGAATTTGGTCTGTATGAATACCTAACTGGGTGAGTCCTGCTGTCTCTTACAACAATTGTGTTTTAAGGAGAGATCCTTATACATTGTTAAATGCAAGAATCTTTATCAGTAGTCTATAATTTCTAGAAACTGGAAAACGTCTTAAGTTTGTTAATTACCTGATTGTATCTTGCACACCTGCGGCAATGCATCCATTCATCTGGTCAATGCAGATACAAGTTACTACTCCTTTTTAGTGTGCAGGATCTTCTCACATAGAGCTCCTTCTGCACTCTGCATAAATAAACATGTTGATTTGGAAAAAAAGTATTGACGATGGTACCCATGTCTAAGAAGCAATTGTTAAAAAACCCAAACAGTTTGTGCTTACTGCATTTAATGAACCAAACCTGCAAATTTTATGGATCCAGCTAATGAAAAAATAATAAAAACTAAGTTCCACCCTTTACCTTTGCATTTTGAAAAGTGAACATTTCCTAATTTAACCACTTGCTCACCTGAAGATTTACCCCCCTTCCTGACCAGGCCATATTTTGCATTACGACGCTGCGTTACTTTAACTGAAAATTGCGCGGTCATGCAACACTGCACCCAAATTAAATTTATGTCCTTTCTTTCCCACGAATAGAGCTTTATTTCAGTGGTATTTTATTTTTTGCGCTATTAAAAAAAAGACCGACAATTTTGAGAAAAAAATGTTTTTTACTGTTTGCTATTAAACATGTCTAGTAAAAAAAATTTTAAAATCAAATTTCATCATAAATTTAGGCCAGAATGTATTCTGCCACGTCTTTGCTAAAAAAATCCCAATACGTGTAAATTAATTAATTAATGTAATGTAAATTAATTGGTTTAACGTGACAGTATAGCGTTTGCAAATGGCATTATATATACTGGGATTTTATTGTTTATTTTTAATAGTAATGGTGGAAATCAGCGACGTATAGCGGGACTGCGATGGACATTCTAACACTGGGGGGATCTGACTTGGTGTCACTGACATCCCCAGGGACACCAATACAGTGATCAGTGCTAAAAAAAGCACTGACACTGTACTAATAGCATTGGGCAGGAAGGGGCAATCAAAGGGTTAACTGTATGCTGGCAGTGTTTTACTAGGGGGTGGTGTCAGTGTGCACAGCCATCCAAAGCAGTGTGCCGGAGCTGACAGGGAGGAGAACTGTTAGTAAACAAAACAGTTCTCCTCCCTGTCGGAGATCCTTGGAAATCACTGTGCGCAGGCGAGTAATCAATGGCCGGGACCCCGTGATTGACAGCCGCGGCCGCGAATGGCAGTGCGGGCAGGGAGCTCGCACGGCTCACGTGCGTTCCCTACCCGGAGATGCAAAATCACGTATATATACGTAATTTTGCACACCCGTGCGGCCCTGTAACAGTATGTCTGCTATAGGGTGGACGGGAAGCAGTTAAAAAATTCTGTAATCACCTGTAGGATTAGTAGGCTTATTTTCTTTGCCCCACAGGCAACGAGAATAAGCTCCTCTTCAGAAGAACTAGTAAGATGGCCTTTCATTTTTTTATTTATTTTAGGTACTTATATAGTGCCATCAATTTACACAGTGCTTTACATATATATTGTACATTCACATCACTCCCTAACCCTCAAGGGGTGTACAATCTAAGGTCCCTAACTTACATTCATGGGCCAATTTAGACAGGATCCAATTCACCTACCAGCATGTCTTTGGAGTGCGGGAGGAAACCAGAGTACCGGGAGGAAACACACGCAGGCGCAGGGAGAACATGCACACTCCAGGCAGGTGGTGCTGTGGTTGGGATTCGAACCAATAACCCTAGTACTGCCAGGGGGAAGTGCTAACCATTTAGACGCTGTGCTGCCTTTTGAATTCTTATACCACAAAGTGAAGTGAATAACAGCTGTTTGCTAACTTTGCCTTATCAGTGTTTGATATGTTTTATGTTGTTAAAGAAATACTTAAATAGCTACCCATATTCTAATAGTTCCATCTTCAGAGCCAGTGATCCACTTGTCTACAAGGTGATGCCACACGACTGTGGTGACCTCTGCTTCATGCCCCTTTAAAATATTTACAAGGGTCATCTCAGAACTGGCTACTCCAAAATGACGTATATAAACTTTTCCATCACTGGAGGAATAGGCAAATTCTTTCCTAAAAGAGGAATAGCATATGAAACAATGGAAATGAGTGGTTCTTCTTTTCAAAACTGTAATGTACGTTATGTCCCTTATTTTCCATATTATGCATGCACAATAAAATGACATCACATTTTGTTTGGAATTAGCTGTGAGGCATGAAATCTTCAACTTTTTTGAGTGGAAAGGATTAAACCTTTGCCAGTGTATTTTTTGCTGTATGTACTATTTGAGAAATTTCCCTTCACTTCCTGTCTCAAAGACACAATAGGACATTAGAGCAAATCTCCCTAAATGATTGAGAGATTCCCCTTACCTCTTGTTCTGGGGAAAACTAAAAAATGTATAATGTTGCCCTACCTACTTCTTCTTGGTGACAATAGCTGCCAGTACAAATAGAGCGGTACATCATTCTACAGCGTGCATAAACAGCAATAAAAACGTAGCAGTGGGCCTGACTTTTCCCCACTCTATCCAAAACTGAAAAAAAACATTTGTCTAAAGATACACTTTAGGTTCATAGTAAAAATGCATTTCCAAAATCTAGATTTATTCTTTTTAGTCTTATTAGCATAATCACAGGCAAGGTCAGTGCATATTTCAGATGTTAAGCCCATTTGGCATAGATATCTTGATTTTTCTCCATGATTTTTGCTCAGTGCTACTGACACTCCTCCTTGTTTCAGCAATCTTTTCTTGGATTCTTGGCATTAAGGTCCGTATTGCAGAACCAAGCAGTGCTTCCTATGATGAAGAAGAAGCTGAATTTAGCTGAAACTATGAAGCTGTGAAGATTTTTGACTACATTGGCTGCTTTCTGTTCAGGCTTAAACAAATATGGAGCCCATGTGTTACACCTTCCATATATTCTAGGAATCCACAAATCCTGACAATAATTTTACTATTTTTAATTGAGGTTCCTTTTCTTGCTTTCTCTTGAGGAGTGAAAATTTTTGCATGCTCTGATGGACTTCAGCTTGATCCACGGGATCAACCTTCAGCTGTGCAAAACATGCTCTACTTACTGGCATATCTCGATAAATTGTTTTTTTTTTTTAAATATGACTTGAATGTGGCTCATCTCTATTTTGTATAATGTGTGCATTTTGAAGTTGGAACCACAAATTAAACTGATAAAGGCAAAATGAATGAACATTGTGAACCTCTCCTATGTCAATTGTCAATTCATTTGTAAGAAAATATAATTTTCACATAAAATGGTAGCTTAGATAAATACAGACAAGGAACAGTAGAAAATAGACTTTTAAAAGGAAAAGTATTGTGACATATAGCAACAAATCACCAGTTATATTTTATTGTGATGGAAAATAATTTAACCCCTTCACGCCTGAGGGTAAAACAAATCTAAATGCCTAAGCACAATTCTGCAATGTTGACATGTGTTAGTAAAACTATCCATATCATCACAACTACTTTATACATCCAGGTGGATTATACCGGCGTTTTTTTCAGGACAAATTGGGCTTTCATTTGGTGGTAAATGGTAATGGATAGCTCCTAATTTTTTTTATTATCAAAGGAAAACTGGCCCAAAATAGTAAAATAAATCCATTTTTTTTTATTTAGCTGTGTGTTTCTTGTTACAACCATAACCTACCTCCATAGAACAACTCAAAATAAATTCTCCAGCTCTTGACGATTGCAGCAATATGATATATGTGTATGTTATTTGTTGTTTGTACCCGTAGTACAGCCCAGAAACAATAGTGCGCATTTTGTTTTTGTCCTTTTTTTTTTTTACCTAAAACACACTGACACTGATACCAATTTTTTTTCAAATCCTGACCTTTGACCCTGACCTTTGACCCTGACCTTGACCAAAACACTAACCCTGGCACTGAACTAGATCAAACCTTGATCTAGGTATTTTTCTTTATTTTTTATTTATCTTCTTTTTTTTTTTTTACAAACATTTTTTTATCTCTCTATGTCAGGAGTTAGAGAAATACAATGTATCTCTCTTCTCAATTCATACAGAGAGAACACAGAGAAAAAACAAGGGGGCTGGGCTGCACAGTGACTGATCACTGTGATAGCCAATCAGAGGCTATCACAGTGATCACGTGACTTGGAATCGGGAGTCCCGGGTCCCAATCATTAGAACGGGAACCCGGGCTCTCAGTGACACCGCAGTCTCTGTGCTGGGAGCCTGCCATGCGGCACGCTCCCAGCACAAAGACAAGTAAACAAATATGCGGCCCCATGGAAAAAAGCCCAGTTCCGTGAGGCCGCATTTTTGTGTGCCGTCGGCGTCAAGGGGTTAAAGTGTTCGTAAAGGCTTACAATTTAAGACCTTGCATTCTCTGGTAAAAAAAAACCTTCCATGATCAGCTCCTCCCCCTCCTAAATACCTGGCTCTTCTTTTGATCCAGCACTGTGCCTTAGGGCAGCAGCACTGTTCTCTCTCCTCACAGGACTCAAAGGCAGCAGGGGCAGCCAGAGCCATTGGCTCCTGCTGCTGTCAATCAAATCTTGTGAGGGCTGGCCCGAGCCTCATTGTGTGTGTCTATGGTGCCATAGCCTGACTCAGGAGCAAGCCCACGCATGTGGCCCCTTAACAAGCTGCTTTCTATGATGGTGCACGCAGAAGAGGAGGAGCCTAGAGAACTGGTGAGGGTCCCCAGAAGAGGAGGTTCAGGTCCACAATGTGCAATATTATTACACAGAACAGGTAAGTATAACGTTTATTATTTTAAGAAAAACAATATAGCGTTTACAAACGCCTAAATAAGAAACGTTTACAATGAGCATACCTTTTTGGACAATAACACATATCCAAAATGACTCCATCACAGGCCTTCTCTCTTTGCTCACTCCAGTGATCGATTTCTGGTCTGCAGAATGTTTCTATGAGTGAGCAAGAATGTAGATCCCATATACAGATTCTGCAGTCCCATCCACCACTCATCTACTGAAAAATGGAACATATATTAAGTTCAGTTCTCAAAGCTTTAACACAAGAAAAAGCCTTTTGACTTTAATATTCAACTTTTATTGGACTCTTGTGCACTTTTTTTTTAAAAGGATCCTTATCCTGATGTGTTTGCATTGTGAATATTATACAAATTTGATGAAAACGGAGAGGGAAAGGGTTATATATTTCTAAATAGAAAAAATGTTTCCATATAGAACCATCCTCAATACCCCACCATTCAGCAAGGTTCACATATTCTAATACACACAATGAGAAAATCAGATCCATGATTGTTCATGGTTTTTTGAATGCTAATCTTATATCGAATACAAGGGGGCTACTAAGCATACGGAAATTCTCATACAATCCAGAACAACTTCCCGTGTGCGTAGCAATGCACCAGCGTGTAGTCGGACGTGATATCATATATGTGTAACCCCTCTGTTTGCCACTTCTTCGGCTATACCTGTTCAAAGTGTCACAGCGTATTCATGCATTGGTCTTTGTATGTAGATTTGTTCTTCTCGTGCCCTGAAAATGTTATTTTTATCACATTTAGAAGCATTTTCCTTCTATACAAAGATTGTTTTATGTTGTCCTTTTTCCTTCTGGGTTGTTTTCATGTTTCATGCGCGGACTTATGAGAAAACATTTTTGTGCATGCCCTTGAGATAATTTTGTCGTGATCAGCTCTTGAAAGTTGTGTATTAATGAATAGATTATGGGAAGATCATTCTGAATCTGTTTTTTTCACTCAGTTTTCTCATCATGTGTACTAGGCATAAGACAGAATGATCTTTGCATTTTATTATGCTCTGATTTGTAGTGATGGGGTACAGAAGGCATTCAATGCATTTTTTAGATCAACAGATCTTTTTCATCAGGAAATGTATCTTTATGTAAATACAGAAAAACATCCATTTTCATCGGTGGAGGGGAAGGGCAACTGGAAATGGCAAAACGATCTGTTGTCCAAGAGCTTCTAGGGCTATGAGAGACCCATTTTCATATATATATACATATATATATATATATATATATATATATATACACAATGTATCAAAGCTTTGGAAGGGTAAAGTCAGTCATTTTAATGCCAGGACATTACTTAAGCCATGGAGAGACTGTCACACAAGCTTAGGAGCGATCTTTATTTATCATAAACTATACAAGACATTGTTGAGGGGTGAAGTGGTGGCTTTCCTAATCTGGCCTATCATCAGAATTATTAACCCTTTGAGGTGTGTCTTGGTGACCATTATAATTCATGGTCATGTATATCTGGTAAGCTGCTTAAACAGAACAGTGTGAGGAGCACATTTTCTTTGTGTTGACACTGAATTGTTGGAGAGAGGATTTCCTTTATATTTATTTAATCGACACTGATTGAAAGACTCTCTATTTTTCAATTTATTTGAGAACAATTTTTGGGACTCGATTATTTTTTTAAAATATTATTTAGTCTTTGTTTAATGTATGTATATTGTAGAGATATTAACGCACTGCACTATTAAGTTTTTATTTCCTGTGGTCATCTGATATCACAGATGTATGTTGGTTGCTCATGATTATTAACCCCAAGCACAGTAGTTGACTGGTTTTGTGAATGACTTTGTTGCACAAGCTATGTTATGCCCATAGAGTTTGAACTTGTTAAAGGATCGTTCCCTTTAGCTCCAATAAAAAGAGTGAATTTTTAACTCCTAGATTTTAAGCTCGAAAGAGCAGGGCCCTCGAACCCCTCGTGTATTGTATTGTACTGTTTTGTCTCATGTTCTGTCCCCCACGTTAATGTACAGCGCTGAGCAAACCCTGTGGCACTATATAAACACTGCATAATAATAATAATAACTGTGCCCATGTGTCAGGATTCGATTAGTGGCTCAGTTAGTCTGTGTTACACTAGGTGGCAGTGTGACATTTGGGACAAAGCCATAGAATGCGTATTTTCTCTATTATGGAAAGTGCTGCCAGCATTACATCCTTTGCAGTCCTCCTTGCTTTACTGGCTTTTATAGGGTGTTACTCTATCATAATATAGTTTTCCATTGTGAAAATATAACATATAGTAAATACTTCTGTTGTTTTTTGTAACTACATTTTGAATGTGTTTAATTACTCACCAAATACACTGTGGAGAAACCACTTTCCTTCCCAATGATAGCTAGAGCTGTGACTGCCTTAAAGTGGCCGGCCAATACCTTCCTACAGGTGAAACCTGATCAATAAAAGGGGAGAGAGATTATCATACCACACTACAGAGATCACTAACTAATATATACACAGAAGAATAAAAAGAATATTTATTTCATAGAATACATAAAACATAAGTAAACCTCTCAGGTTCAGATTACAGAAATATACATTCAGTTCAGTACACCAGGCTCACAAACCAAAGATTCAACTTCAGAAAGGTTTATTTTTGTAAAGAAGACCCAGGGCCACTTTTTCAAACAATAAAGCGTATGCAAAGCCAAAACAATTTTCCCTTGTTTTGGATAGGACGTAGAAAGGTTAGAACCTCTGTTAGGTTTTGATTGCTGTCTGTGGGCCTGCTGGGGATTTTCATTCTCTGCATTGGTCTTGGTGACTATTGTCTCCAGTATAGAAAGTGATGGAAAATCCAACATTTTTGGGTTGTCACAGGAACAGGAGGTAAGGGTAAATCTTCCATTGGGGACAACTGTTCTGGTGACAAGAGGAGATATCCCCTTGCTTGGATACAACACACTTGTGGTGCTCTTATCCTAAACTGTTTTAGCTATGTCGTCTACCAAGTTTGTGTACATCAAAAGACTGACTGTACATAATTACAAATTCTTGGTTGGGAAAACGGAAACATGCATTTGAACAGTGTATTTAGCTGGTTGCCTGGTGTTTTAATTATAAATACTCGCCTTCTTTTAGCGTCATTAGTGCTTCATCAGAGTAATTCATATACTTAGACTTTTCAGGCCAAAGGGATCTCTATATGTGAGTAGAAATAAATCTGGGCATTTAACAATATTTTGCACTGCTCAACCATGGTTTGCTGCTGTATTTTGAGAAATAAGTTCCCATTGAATTATTAATGTCTTCAGAGTATTCACTTTAAGCATCATCAAATACACTACATCTGAGCTTGCATTCTAGAAATCTTTCATTTCAATTTTGCATTTTATGTTTCCAAGGTGTCCACCCCCATGCTGCTTTTTTTTTTTTTTTTAACAACCCTTTGTCTATTATTTGATTTGACAGATTCAGTTCCAGTTAACTTGAACTTTGCTGAACCTTGCTTGAATCCAGGGCAAAATGAGCTCATGCCTAATGCAAATCATGCTATTCATTTCCAGTATTACAAAGTGCAATTTGCACAAGCAGTGGTAATATAGGTCTTGAGATACATTTGCTTTAATTACAAATCCACGATACAGAAACACAACTCAAGACTATTTATTCTCACCTTTTATTTTAAAATTCAATCCTAAAATTTCTTAAAGTATTTGTTAATGTACAGGTTAGTCTATACTCTATAGCACAGGTGTCAAACACAAGGCCCTTGGGCCGAATCCTAGCCTCCAGGTGATTTCATGTGTCCCTTGTACCTCTCCTGCAGGTACCCCTTTGTCTCCGCCTCCACCTCGTCTCAGCAGTCAGCAGCAGAGAAGAGAAAAGAACTCCTCTGCCAAATCCTGCACCTCTAAGTGCAGCTGCAGCACCCCCTCATCTCTGCCTCCCCTGGTCTCAGCATTCAGCAGACTCTGGTAACAGATTCCACTCCTCCTCTGGTCCTCCTCCAGACCCTGCACTTTCTGCTTTCCAGCTCTGCCCCCAAAGGGGGTGCATGGTGATTTTAGGGAGGGTGTGGGATTCTTGACATCTGATGTAATGGGGGTGGGGTGCTCTGGACATCTAGTCTTACAGATACAACTGACCCTTTGAGGGCAACCAAAATGCTGATACGGCCCCGACGATGAAATGGAGCTTGACACCCCTGCTCTATAGTAACTAATTTTGAAGCCAGAACAATTAAAGAAACAGTGAAAGTAGAAATCAGCTTCATTAGCTAATAGCAATCAGTATAATGTTTCAATAACTTCCAATACTGCAGCAGTAAACTGTACTGTTATACTTACCTGCTAAGTGCTTGTTCAATATCTTTGTGTTTTTTTGTGTTGGCTGACTTTCTGTTACAGAGCTCTGAGACAACAGGTTTTCATATTTCTGTACACAAAAAGAGTACACACTAATTTAGTAAATAAATGGAAGACAAAATCAAAAGCACAAGTAAAAACTTTGGCTTGGAAAGTAAAATTAAACGGCAGCTGGCATTCTCTTCTACCCTCGATCGTTCACTTACCCACCCATCCACATCGAGTTGTGGTCAGGTCCTTAGCACCCCCATTAGATTGTCCTGGATTGTACATGATCATGTCAAAGCGGGAACCGCCAGACGGAGTGTTTGAATAGCAGAGACTTTGGAGCACTGGTTGCATGGAAGGAAAAGTCTGCTGCAGCTAGTGGTAAGGTAAGTAAAAGTACTTTTTCTGGTACTTTAAGCAAATATAAGCACTTAACCCATGTAACGCAGGAAAGCCTCCTGCAAGGGTAGTTATTTTATTACTTTCCTGTAGTTTAGCTTTAAGTTTGAATACTGGATACTAACACAATCCTTTCCTTGGAGGATTTCTGATGACATAGGGTATGAATATTTTGTTAATGTAATGTACATGCTGTAAGTAACACATACTGTATATAACTTAAACATTACTGAATAAATCTGTATATTTGAAGGTATTTATTGACCTGTTGAGTAATGTCTATTTATAGCATTTCTGAAGTCAAAATTTTTTTTTTACCCTAATGCATTTACATTAGGTGCGGCCCCCACCCTTCCCCAAACACTTACCTGACTCCTCCACCAATCCAGCACTGTCCAATCTGTAGCACCACTGCTCCAACAGGAGATTCTGAGA